CCTGGAAGCTGATTTACACTTGCTTGTGTTAAAGCAAGGGAATCTATTTGATGAGAACTTTGACGGAGTTCAATACTTCGGTAATTGATGTGAGTAAGATGATAACTTATAAGTTTCTTCATGGTGTTCTGCTCAGGATGCATGACAGATCTGCTAATGGTGTTTTACACTTAGCGATTTTAGCTTTACTTAAGACTCGGCAAACTTTGATTGTTTTTCACTAGTGCCCGCCAAGGTTACCGGCTGGTAAGTCTATATAAATTTTATTAAGGAAGTATCTCTAAACTTTTAGCTACTTACATTCTCTTACTGATTTTAATCGGCTTTCATTGCTTCAATGCGCTTGAATTTTCAGAGTTGGGCTCTTCCTAATTTGCATAATCTGTAATCGGCCCGTGGGCATTACGGCTGCATAATGATCACTCAGATCTCGCTCTTAGCCAATCAGAGCGCGTGTTATATCGGCCACAAGCCAAAGCCATATAATAATAATTGAGTAATTAATTCCAATTGTTCAAAATGAGTAACAGTTAAAGCATTTTTTATTTGTCATTGTTGTTAGACACTAACAGTTTCTGATTAATTATAATAATCTTATGTAGGATGAGAGAGCATTTTCTGAGGATGAAGAGGAGAAGCTTCAAGGAGCTCTAGCACTAGAACCTGATGATCTTCACATTGTTTTAGAGACTTCAGCATTTATCCTTGAGCAGGTGACTGTATAGCCTGAATATTAGACCCGTGGATTTGAGATTTAGAGAACAGTATCCCTGGACAACTGCTGTTAAAAAAGTGAACAGTTTTGTTTTACAGTCTAACTAGTAGTTAGGCTCTGTTAATTACTTGGCTATTAATCATTTGGTTCAAAAACAAAATTACAGCTTTAATTAATACCATGTTCAAACCCGTACATAGCTCTACTATTTAAGCGATAGGAATTATTGAATATGTGATATATTTTTTTAAAATTTATTATTTGTTTTATTTTGTTGGTGTAGTAACTGAATACTATATATACATCATTTCTTTTATTTATTTTAGGCTGCTTATCACAATGCCAAGCCACAACTGCTTAAACAGCAGTTACAGAACATTGAATTACAAGATGAAAAGGTATTTGTTATCTTCTGTGGAGTTGTAAATTATAGCAAGTACAGTGTCTTTGAGTGATCTGGCTGATTAGCGGTTGAAAACGACTGATCCTTCATGATTATTTTTGAGTTTCTCACACCATCAATAAAGCATCAAGTTAAAACAATTAATTGTAACCTTTGAAGTTGTTTAATAGTTTTTCCATTCAAGTGGTCCCAAGTTCAAACAGTGCAAACCATCACTCAGAGAAATTTACCACGGCATAAGATGGCATTAGATAACACTCAGTCCAATTCTTATTATGTACTTTAAGGTTCAGGCCCTTGTAGATTTGTGGACTGCAAATGGAAAGTCTGTTGTAGAAAAGTTGAAACAAAGATGTCTTGCACCTAAACAGGTAAATGAACATTACTTTGACACCTGAGAAAACACACACAAATCACTTTATATGACAGCAACACTACAGAGACCTGGACACAGAGCAGGATAAGAGACCATATTCATATTCTGGGGATTGGACTGGAACTAGCTTACAACCGAGGCTAATGCAGGGAGTCTTTGAATGCAAATGAAATTAATTCCTTTGTAATGATGTTGCAACGCATGAGCCTCCATTGCAATCTGGTTCCAGTCCAACACCGAGAATACAAATACCGCCTATTAACAAATTATCAAGCACATTTCTCCATGGTGTACACACTCTTAACATATAATGTAATAGGAAATAAGTAGACTGCTAAATTTTCTTACAAAATTAATTTGACACAAGAAACTTGTTCATTGTTGCTTTTGTTTGAAATAGCTTCAAGCAGTAAACTGGAGGTTGAATCTGCAAATGGCTCAAAGCAATATGACGAAGATGAAACTACCTAATGTCATGTTTGATCTGAATCTGTCTTCTGGAAGCCAGGTCAGTTCATCAATTCAGTAGTTTGACTTGCATTCCTTTCATTTGTATTTCAGGTGAACTTTAAGGTGTTCCTTTCCTTGCAGGGTAATACAGAACAAGTTCACCTCGAATTTACTCATGACGAACTGTATGCTTTTTATAATCAAGTATGTGGGTTCTATTGATTATTAGTATTAGCCACGCGAATGTGTTGTTTCCTCAAAATCTTATCAGAGCCAGAGTGTCTCAATAAGTAACTCAGATTTTATTTATTGATTTTTTTTTCAGTTGGAGACCATTCAGAGTCAGCTTGATTCACTCAGTTAACCTCACGTGTTGTGAAAGCCAAGCAACTGACAATAATTCTAGGTTGACTGCAACTAATACTCTTCACCAATTAACATACACAACATTCAAGATTTTTATTAAAATTCAAATTCATTTTATGCAAGCTAAATGCAACACATAGACAAGAAAATGCAACCCCTAGCATAGCTTGCAAATATTTGCGAGAAGTATAGAATAGTGTTAGCCTAAGTCTTCTGGTACATTGTTCTGTTTACTGCAAGATGATTCCTTCTTCTAAGCAATAGTAAATGGCATGATGACCACACATTGCAATAACAATATTTTTTTGTTGATCTCCCGTTATGTGAAATTCTGTGCTCAAACTATTAGTCACACAGTTAATCATTACATACAAATGAGAAATTTATAACTACTAACAGTGTTTAGTAGACAGTTTACAGCCCTCTATTTTCTCGTATTTTTATTCAATTGTTGAATGCGTGGATAGAATTGTGAGAGAACTGGATGCCATCACAAAATGGAGACTTGACTGGATAGGGGGTAGGGACTAACCCCTACCTAGTGAAGTCCAGCCCTCACCCATGCATGCATCGCGCTCACTTCGCTCGCTTTTTCTTTTGCATGTGTAACTAGAGAGGTTGTGAAGAGTCTAAAATCTTGACTCTTAAATCTTCACGTTTCTTTGAGTGGTATATGTTGATCGTAAATAAGCCCCATAATAGATACATAAGGTAAGGAAAGATGGATGGATTGATAAATAAGGTCATGAACCACAGTTTTTGTACATTTTTAAAAAATAATAATAACTTTTATAAGAAGATTACTAGCAATAAAATAGCACAATAGGCTCGCCGAGACTTGTCTGCTCTTAACCAACATGTAGGCATGGTTCACACTAGCGAGAGAACAAGATAATGATGTAATCACTTACCGTAAATCCTTGAATTAGCACCCAGGGCACTTATTTCAAATTTAGGAGAACACGGGGGCGCTTATTCAAGGGGGGGGGGCACTTAATCAAGGGGGGTGCTTGTTTAATTTTTCCCAAATCGTGGCCTGACATGATCATTTTTTCATACATCATCTGCGCATAAACAACAACATAAGCTGTTTATCGACATAAGAAGCATATCCTAAAGTTTAAATCGTGGCATCATCAGTACTAATTTTTTTTCCAGAGTTAACATGTTCACAAATTCAAACAGTGTAGAATCTAATACTACACAATGAAAACTATACATCCTTTGTTGTCTCATTACTCATCCATAAAATGGAGGGGGGGAGGGGGCGCTTATTTTAAATTTGGCCAACAGGAGGGGCGCTTATTCAAAAGGGGCGCTTATTCAAGGGGGGGGGGGGCACTAATTTGAGGATTTACAGTATGTCAGCAATGTGAACATCGACATGAAAACAAGGAAAAAATCAGGTTTTTTCCTTATGTTATGTTCATGTTGCTATGTTGCTATTAAGTCAGGATGTTCACTTTGCAAACATAACGACAAAACATCCTCCTTATGTCGTTATGGTTTTGTTGTTATGTGGCTAGTCTGAACTACAGTATGCTCTACTGGTCCATCAAGAATTAATACACTTACAATGCAGCCCACTAAGTGGAAGGTTTTACTCTACAAATTTAACCCATCCTAGGTGGCAAATCATCACCATTATCGATTTACTCCAAAATATTACACTAGAAACTTGCATAGTTTGTATCCTTCAGCATTATGGGTTGTTCAAATGACCAAGTTCAAGTAGTTCTGTTGTAAACAAAACTGCTCTGTTCTTAAATGGCTCTTATAAACCACATATATTTGAAACTCAAGTCCACTTATTTCCCTTCTCCTCAATATTATTTTCACTTTGCTTCATTTGTTTTTCCTCTCTTCCAAGTCCTTGTTATTTTCCTGTAATCTGTGGCTTGCACTATTTTCAAGGCAAAAAATCCCTGTTCACCAACTGTTTCACTTGGTTTGATCATGGCTCAGACTTTGGGTTTTGGTGAATAAGACTTCCAGAGTAAAGTTTGCCAACTTGGGTCTTGATCTGGCACTTTTTGTCATTGACATTGACTGTGCAAAAAGCTGCAATCTTCCACAATAATACACACACCAGCCCATGGGTGTTATTCATTAGCCAGAACTTGGTGCTGTTGATGCCATTGTGGTAGCAAACAAAGTATCCAAACTACCAAGTAACTCAAATCCTTTCTGTTGAAAGTCTATCTCAGCACCAATCTTGTTGCGTAACTTGGTGAATAGCTGGTCAACTTTTTCAGACTGTCCAAATACAGGTCCATAGATATCTGAAAGAAACCGCATGCCTTTCAGAAGCTTGTCATATGTTCTAAGTTTGAGAAGACAGGATCCGTAGTTGTCCTCCCAGCCAGTTAATTGGTTGACTTCACATAAAATCTGTAATAACATTACCCTAGGCATATGTGAATTTCTCAGTAAAATTTTCCTGCAAAGTTCCTAGAGTAATGGCCCTCATTAGGTTTGGATTTAGCAGCCTTTTCCTGTTGCTGGTTACTACTTTTGGGGGTGGTTACAATTGTCCTGTAGCTAAAACATGTGGGCTGATTAGTCTGTCTTACGGTGCAATCAAATAAAAAAGTTGTATTTTCCACTGGCTGAGGAATGAAATAAGTGGAAAATGTTTTCTCACACACTGCTGGGGCCTGGTCCTGAGGTGTTGTTTTTTGAGTCACACGCTCAGTGTTGTTTGTCAGTTGCTTTTTTGCTGTCCCCCATTGCTGACGAATATTTCAGAGCCCCAGTTCCCACCCAACCCTTTGTTTGATTTAATAACATACACTCTGTTAGTTACATATTTAGTAAATTAACCTCTTCTGGTGCCTGGTATTTCGGCTGATAATGTCCGCAGCTGAGATATTGTTCAAAAAACGAATATTTCACCGAGAAGCGAAGCTTCAAGGGCAAATGTGAAATTTTGAGGACAATCTCTCAGCCAAGGAAATTAACAGCCAACATACCAGCGAGCCCTTACTTTCGGGAGGTCATTACTTTTGGGAGAAGGGGGTCACCACTTTCAGAACTTTATGATAGCCAGAGTTTCATTTTATCCACTAAATAAATATTAGATAACACCTACAGAAATTCAAGGGACTACATGGAATTTACAAATGAGTTGCAGCAGAAAAAATGAGGCAAATAAGAAATGCATCTGCTTGTCACACTGTCTCACTTAAACCGAGTCAGTACTACAGCAATAACTGCGATGTTGATCTTTTCCCATTGAAAATTTCTGAACATAGTTACAAGAACATAATTGACTTACCAAGGACTGTATTTGCCACATCAGTGAGTAGGACGGTATACCGGGGATTGCTGATGTATCTGCAGGAAGACAGTAGCTTGGTTAATCTAAAACCTCATTTATAATTATGAGTCTACTGCCCCAGAATATGTCACATGCATACACTTAACTCTATAAGTCATCTATAAGTCCTTCTGCATATAAGTACTCTTTATTGATGGAATGAAACATCCAAAGTTTATGTGTTTTATACCCTGATAAGGATCAACATTTCTCTTTCTCCCAAATTCCATAAAATATAAACTATGTGTTTCTATAACTTGACAGAAACATGATAATTGTGAAGAACAGCTCCCAAGAAAACCTGTTGGCCTCCTATCAGCCTTCTATCAGCCATCTGTCAGCTGACTGTCAACCGTTTGTCAGCAAACTCTTCGCCATTTGTCAGCCGCCTTTTGGTCAACTGCCGGCCGTCTTTCGGTCAACTGTCGGTCGGCTGTTGTCTGAGAGACGGCCAACAGGTTTTTGCCAAAGCACACCCAACAGTTGGCCGACAGTTGGCCAACAGTTGGCAATGTTTCGGTAAGTTTTCATTAACATGTTGGTAATTAAGTTGTTGACACTATGAAACACTTACCTTTATGTTGTTTCTCCATACTTCATCTTCACAATTACCATGTTATCTATTTCTTACATGTACATAATATTTTAGCAGTGTTATAGTAAGGTGGTGAACTGGTGTATGGTTTTAACAATTTGTAACTCCAAATAACTTGAACCTTATGAGGAACTCTAAAATGGGGACCAGGCCATCTTCATCCTTTCCAGCCAAAGCTCTCCTCAGGCCCCTTCTCCGAATCAACTCTTGAAGAAGACTGGCAAGGAGAGGAGCACGACCAAAGGCAGGCTAAAAAAATAATATTATAGTAATTCAAAAAATTATGACAAAATGACATTCCTTAGGTTAGGTCAGTCACACTTTCAGGCATTTGCTAAGGCCAAGTGTAACACTGATGAATCACAGTATACCATTAAGTAAAAGACGACAAGTTTTTAAGGCAGGGTGTCAATAAGGAATTCCAATGGGTCGGTTCCCACTGTTCCCAACAAATCATTATAAATTTTCTTTTACTTTGTAGGGTCATGTAGCTGACCTTGTCAGGTTTTTGACTTATGATCTCTCACTTGTCTGGAACACTGGATTACAAATTTTGTTTGAGAGTATGAAATAAGGCCTGTTTATTATTCATAGTGGAACAAAGTACAAATTATTTATCAGCTGTTTGCACTACTGAATCAGTAAATGGAATTTCTTGTCTAAATTTTTGTTGTAAAGCTCCTGGCATCAGATTGGTGGTTGCCTTCTCTAACATACGTAGCTATAGCAGGGTGTGACATTATAGAGACCAACCTTTCGTAGTACTGAATCAAGGGCCTTAGAATATTCAAACTTCTTTAATAACTGATCATGTTCCTTCAACTTGTGCTTCCTGGGTGCTGAGACAACAAAGTCATCCTGAAAAAAGACAAAATATTGCATAACTGCAGTTTGACAATGATCATGTGTAGATCAAGTAATATTATTTTAGGGAACTGTTTGTCACATATTTAATTTTGCCTAGTCATGCAAGCATGTACAATGTTTGCATCCGAAATACATTTAATTTATTACTAAGCACACAAAACTGAATTGGTACATAAAGTAAAGAGACTTCTCAGTACATTTGTTTGATAACTATACATGTGCATATTATATATAGTACCTCCTGATCACCATGCAAATGCGTTCACGATTCAACTAATAGTTCTATCCTGACCAATGATTATATTCTCATTAGGGTGTCTGGAAAACCCAAATAGCGAATAGTCCCGAATAGTGCGAATAGTCTCGAATAGTGCAAATAGTGGCGAACAGTCGCGAAAAGTGACAAATAGTTGTCAATAGTCACCACTTTAGATCTAATATCCTGCATTAATTAATTATCCAAATAAGCAACAGAATTTCAGTGAATTTATTACCTTTTCTTCTCCAGACACAGGCTAGGGCTGTCTATCACCAACATTAAGAAAACAGAAAACACAAGGATAACCTGATAAAGATGTATTTACGCTTTTGCAGCGGTTAAAACAGAAGAAATTACGTTTAGAAACACCTTTTGTCCTGATAAGTGTCTGCTTTTTAGCGGGAAAATCCCATCCTACATTGCTGTGAGGTTGACTGCGAGATACTGGGTACCCTATTTGCTACGATTTGCCACTATTTGAGACTGTTCGCCACAATTCGCACAATTTGAGATTATTCACACTATTCGTACTATTTGCTATTCCAGTTTATATGCTGTTCGCTACTCGTGACTATTCGCTATTCGCTATTCGGGTTTTCCAGACACCCATTCTCATTATCCTTATTGCATTTCTGTTTAATTATAATGTCAATAACACAAGGAGAAATTGCAAAAACACTCACAGGTAAGCAATACCTTAAGTATAGACTGAAGCCAAATTTTTTAACTCAACGAAATGGGGATTGAATGTTCAAACCAGAATTATTCCAATATTATATCTTCCAGAAAATAATCTGTCTGCCTAGCCATCTTTTTTGATAATTTCATCACTAGGATAAAGAATCATTGATACGATGTACTGAAATATAGTTGCTTTTACAATCTGTTAGTTTTGTAGTCTGGCTTGAACAGCCACAGATCAGCCATGAAGGCATTCTTCTTATTGAGTGGCGATGTAATTTGTAGTCTTGATGTAGTGTAATGTGTCTTTATTAATTACAGTTAAACAAACAAATGTAGACAATATACCTCCTGTGGCTTGAAATTTTTGCCACGCACAAAGTAACGATATGTTCCAGCAGTAAGCTTCTTAGTTGTTGGAACCTGGTCTTCAGCTGTTTGTTTCAATCGATACTTAATGGAGAGGAATCCATTTGTCATACCAGTCACAACATGTGTATCATCAGGCTGTCATCATAATCAAACATAACATTTACACAATTAGAACAATTGCCATAGGTTTATCACAACATCTTGCCAAGAACAAAGGACTCTGAGGGCCTAGAAAGTGAGTTTACAAAAAGAGAAACTATTAAGTTGTTGATAACACCAAAAATGTCAAAATGTCAGCCAGTGTGTGAAGTTTATTGACAACAGTGTCAAACATTATTAGTACATGTACTGTGGAAACCTAAACGTTTTCCTTTTCAAATGGAACACTAGTTACTATACAATAGTCGTGTAGTTGTGGATAACAAACAGTTTTTCCTAGTCTCGTGGCCAGGGGTTTCATTGCCATAACATGCCCTCTGACACAAGTAATGAGAAAGCAAGTATTAGTTACATTACCACAACACTTGAGCCACAAGTAATTAATTCAGTTAACATAAAAATTTAGCTTTCAGTAACTTAAATTGCCCTCTCCGTGACAGCATTAGAATATCTGATCTTAATTAGCCTAGTTTTTTCCATTTTTGTTTTGGTAGTTTTAGACAATATTTATCAAATACTCAAGACAGTGCTTAATATCACATATTTTCAAACACCTCAAAGTGTGTCAAAAATAATCTGAGCTTTGCAACTCTTTTCTCCATCTTTGGAAATGTGCAAAACATAGTCTCTAATAAGCAATTAGATTATGAGCTAGAGATTTCTATTGTGTGATAGTTGACAAATCGAGAGTGAATACTCTGAGCTATACAACTCATTTTCTTCATCTTTGGAAACATGCAAAATATAGTCTCTAATAAGCAATTAGATTATGAGCCTGAGATTTCTATCGTGTGATAGTTGACGAGGGCACATCTCAGACATCATAGATTTTAACATGCCTGCAGTATTAACGCAATAGTAGCAAGAGTCATTTTTAGACAGGTCCACATCAGTTTATTTTGGTACCATAGTTTAACCTACATATCAGTTATAAAGCCCGAGTCAACTATCACACAAAGAAATGGAGAGCAAATAATCTTATTATTTTAGTATGAATCTACCAGTCATTCAAAACTTCATCTAAATCCCCTTCACAGACTCTTTGAAAAAGTCAAGAAGCGGTCATCATTTTGTTAACAAGCGCACATTACTACGCTACTCACTATCTATCACAGAATAGATAGTGAGCAGTGTAGCCAATCAGAGAGCAGTATTCGTGATAGAATGCTAGTAGATTTATACTAAGGTTTGATATATTATGTCTAGTAATTGACAACCCCTGTTCTACAAAATCTATGAAGGCCATGAGAAAGAAATCTGAATCTGAATACATTCTATTCTACATGAACAAATTTTTAAAGAAAGATTAAATATGAACAATGATACAAAGTTTAGTAAATGTCAAAAATTATTGCACAACTGAAAAAAACTTACTGAGACTGCAAGACTAAGAATGGGTGAAGGATAATCCATGTTGTGAACGATTGTATAATCTCGGACATCATAGATTTTAACGTGCCTGCAGTATTAACGCAATAATAGCAAGAGTCTTTTTTAGACAGGTCCACATCAGCTTATTTTGGTACCATAGTTTAACCTACATATCATTTATAAAGCTTGTATCTTTGTAATCTGTACATATGTACATATATATGTACAGTCACAGTTATATGCAAAACTTAAACAGTTGCCTGAAAGCTTGAAAAAAATTCAGGCTGGAACAAGATTCAAACCAGTGACCTCTGTGATATCAGTGCTCTACCAATTAAACTGTCAAGACAACTAGGGGCTAGTCTTGTTCAGAGTAAGCAAGTGAAGCAAATGAATATATGATCATCTCAGATTTGTACGCAACTTAAGTAGTTGTGAAAATAAAAGCAACAAATTAAGTTGCGTACATAACTCTGATGATCTCTCATGTCTTCCTCCTACAGTTGAAATATATGGTATTTCATATGTTCACCCACATGTACCATCAGGAGGTAGTTATTGAATCGTAATAAATAAAAAAACAAACAAACAAATATATAAATAAGTAAATAAATAAATATAAAGGATTAGAATTGCAACCATTGTAGATCAAACTGCAATTTACAATCAGGGGGGGGGGGGGAAGGAGCAACACATTACATCTCCTGTCGTGAATATTTTTTTCAGCTCAATACCCAAAAAGGTACAGCAGAAGTTCCCACTGTGGACCTTTTGAGGCTGAACACCCTAAAAAGCACCCGTCATTTTTATATGGGAGTACCCTGAAAATATAAGGCACCTTGATTTAACTGCTTGCTTTACAAAATTTGACAAGTGAACAGTTTGCAACAGAGATTTAATCTCTGTTGACCAAGAAATTCTTATAAGATTATGCTAAAGGACAGTGCAAAACTATGCTATTGTCTGTCCACTCAAGAGTTGAAGAAGCAAGATAGCATCCAGGACATTAACATTGTGTGTTAGTAAAATTCTACTTAGTCTAGTACTGTATACTAAATTGCAAATACCACTACAACTGACTGCATTGGCTGCGCTATTGTACACTATCAGCCGTCAAAGTACAGCGGCTGGATGTTGTGTACAAATAGCACCATTTTCTCTTTTTTGCCTGGTTGTTTTGCCACCTTGGTTTGATCATGCATTAATCTTGCATAAATGTAAAGAAACTAGCTTTTCTATAGTATAAACTATTTGACTGTACAATAGCTAAATTAGACAATCTTTATACAATTTGATGATTATTCTAGCTACTGTTTAAATCTCACTGCCCCTGCCCCCACCTTTCCTATGCACAAACATACTTCATATCACTGAAAAAATACCAAAAATACCTGTCAAGTGACCCAGATAAAAGATGCTGGTGTTCTCCATCAAAGCAAATAGATGTTATTGTTTTTTGATGGTTTGAAAACCCTGCTAGCAGTCTGCCACCTCCTAATATGTCCCAGACTTTGATTATGTTACTTCCTAAAGGAAACATTGCAAGAGAAAATCAGAATGTACATACCAGAAGAGTAACAGCCAACATATGTTGGTTATTCAAAGTGGCCACTATAGATATTAATTATAGTAAATCAGACAAGATTTATACTTTTCATTTCACTATATTTAAGTACAATACATTTTACTAATAAAATTAAATTAATTTCATTATACATTAGCAAGGATCAGTTAAAATATGGAAGCCATCTTAGGCTGTGTTTCCACTTAGTGCCTGAGCACTGGAGCCTTGGCACTGGCATAAGATAGTGTTGTGTTCACACTAGTGCTCAGCAAGAATCGTACTCAGGCACCGTGCTTAGGCAATGTGAACATAGCCTTAAGTCCCCAAAAGAAGTCCCCCAAAGTAGCCATAAACAAAGACTAATACAATCTGAAAGAAACAGGAGTCATTACTTTTGGAATTTATCAATAAAAACTATATATTAATATATCTTAATTGACCACTCCCCCAATGAGGTTTTTCAGGGCCAATGGAAACAAATGATCAAACAAATACAATGTAAATAAACATAACTTGGTTAAAAATACCAAACTGGCAGGAGGTGGACCAGTTGGTTATTTACAAGCGTGACTGAGGGGTTGAACTTGGGACTACTGAGAACAGCACCAGCTGGTGGTCAGAGCAGGACTTGAACCCATGGCCTCCAGATTTCAAGATCAGCCCTCTAACCACTCGGCCACTCTGCTCCTTATCACTGACATTTCTATTCATATTTCCTTTCTTTGTGTGTTTAGTTTCCCATCACATCAAAGTATTCAATACATTATAAATTAAAGCAGAATTTTTTGAAGAATCGCATCTGGTCGTCAACTTACTTACCTGCGGAGATACAAATTCCACCTGTCGGAAAGATCTGCACACATTCCACTGGGTGTCCATGGTCCATGGATAAAACACTCCCTTGCCTACGTTTGTCCCAGACCTTTAGACAATGGTCATAGGAACCTGCAACAAAGCATGAATGAGATAACACATATAACTGCAACTTTCTCATAGACCAAACTTGATTTACCAGCACCTACCTTGAAATAAGCACCTTTTCCACTACTGTAAGTACCACCAGGCCTCCACCAAAAACAAGTTTTTTTTTTTTTTTTTTTGCATAAGCGGCCCTATACATATCTAATCTATTTTATGTTATTTTCTTTTACATATATTTGTTCACATACAGAATAACATACAAAATAACCGTAGAGGAAAAAAGCTACAAAATTCCTTACATTAAAATACCTAAAACAGGTTTAACAACAAACGATAAAACTAGTGGTAAAAATACATAAATAAAAAGAAAGAAAAAAAAAAGGCGACTCCTCTGCCCGGTTTTTAGTTTTTTTAAATATTATTATCCAATAACTACGTACTTGATATNCTCGTCTAACTACGACCAAATTATCGAAAACTCAGGTCTTTTTGTTTTGTTTTTACAACTGAATAAACAGAAAAATAATTGATCACACCTGCGAAAGGTTCTTATGACTGAGTCTGAACAAGCTGCGAGCTCATTTCCTGTCTGTTTCTAAAGCTTGAAAATGAACGCTTTTTCTTATGTAAAAACAACATCATAAAAGTGTCCAAGATTTATAGCATCCATGTATTCATGTCATCTTGAAGGGTTAAATGTTCCCTAACACACGTCAGAGCTAGGTCGTCAACAACAATAGTGCATTCAATTTCTTCACAAATAGCCATTCTTCGCTCGGGGTGAGTGTTGCGATAGTAGTGATAAAAATGGTGGTCTAAAACCTTGTAAAAACGCCTTCGAACACACACATCTGTCTTTTCGTCAGGGCCCGTTTTTTCCTTGGAAGCGCGTTTATTACCATTTGCTTTCCTTTGAACTTCAAACGTGGCGATGTAAGACGTTATATCAATGTTTCCAGTCGTTTTAGGATCGATTTTTTCTCCATTAAAATCTCTCAGTTCCATGATTTTATCTCTTTTTTTTTTATTTTTTTATTTTTTTTATTTGTTCACATACAGGATAACATACAAAATAACCGTAGAGGAAAAAAGCTACATAATTCTAGTACTTACATTAAAATACCTAAAACAGGTTTAACAACAAACGATAAAAACTAGTGGTAACAATACATAAATAAAAAGAAAGAAAAAAAAGGCGACTCCTCTGCCCGGTTTTTAGTTTTTTTAAATATTATTATCCAATAACTACGTACTTGATATAGTAATTTTATTAACAACAATTACTAATAATTAATCATTAATCATAGATACAATTAAGAAATAAGCAGTGCAGAAAGATTTCCGAGATAAGTAATTTAAATTAAAAAAGTTGGTGGTATGTCTAACTCTCAATTGCACTTTGGCCTTGGTTCGCTTGCAGAAAGTAGATA